GAGGGGGACTGATCAGCTACGGAGCCAAGGCACAGACTCTCGCAGCACAGAACACCGTGGACGCCGAACTTCAAGCGCTGAGCTTCAGTGCTCGCCAGGCAGTCTACATCTCCAACTTCACGACAGAAATCGGATTCAAGACCTTTCGATCGGTACCCGTCAACAGCGACAGCACCGGAGCATTGACTGTGGCCAGCAACGCGATGTTCAGCTCTAGAACCAAGCACATCGCGCNATCTCCCGATGCAGCGATTCGCTACCATCATGCAACTCATAAAGGACTACAAGTGCTAGAAGATATTCAGCACAAGATCGCATAGTATGGTTGAATGTTTTGAACGCGTGTATTGCTCACAGGATGGATTCACTCATGTGGAGGTCGATATTCTTTGATATGGATTGGGAATCGAGGAGTCGCAAAAATGGCAGCGAAGTGAAGTTTTGGGACATCGGCTACTTGTCTAATCGAGGGGTCGTGTCGAGGAAACTGTTACAACGTAGTCAGGCACAGNTGCAGCGATTCGCTACCATCATGCAACTCATAAAGGACTACAAGTGCTAGAAGATATTCAGCACAAGATCGCATAGTATGGTTGAATGTTTTGAACGCGTGTATTGCTCACAGGATGGATTCACTCATGTGGAGGTCGATATTCTTTGATATGGATTGGGAATCGAGGAGTCGCAAAAATGGCAGCGAAGTGAAGTTTTGGGACATCGGCTACTTGTCTAATCGAGGGGTCGTGTCGAGGAAACTGTTACAACGTAGTCAGGCACAGTTTACCATAGGTGCGACTGCGGCAACCAGCCTTCCGTAGAAATAATACAGGAAGAAGAGATGGTACTCAGCAGAGAACATGGGCACAGAGTTGTAGCGGAGATAATTTGGCAGGCGAGACTGTAATTGTTTTATTGTTCCGAACCCCGAAATTCCGGTATCGGAACCATTACCCCAGAGACCCTCGGAACTTGCTGTGTGTTTGCTGCTTTTTTTTGTTTTGTTTTGTTCTTGAGATGAGACACAAGGGCGCCTTCGCCCCTTTGTGCTCACTCTCATCGAGCACCCATCAAAGCCTGACCAGGGAGTCAGTTGATAAGAACATCTATCTACATTTCTCTTTCCAAAGCTCGCTCGGGCCTACCGATCTCACATCAGTGTAGACCAACCTCTGTGATAGAGCGGTGACAGCAGTGTAACCTCTGTGGTAGACTACAAAGTCTACGAGCTACAGCAGCACCGCCACCTCCGTTGCTGCAGGACGCCACATTTTGTGATCGGAATATATAACCAACCATTTGTGCACATGCAAAGTGTAGGAAGATATGATTCCTCGGGCTAACTTGCCATGGAACGAAGTGGCAAGTAGACCACCGAGGAGATTTGTCGGTTCCGAAGTCCATGGCCGATTGCCGAGGGAAGAGATGGGGAGCCTCCGGCTCGCCTCTCTCGACCCTCTGGTTACTCTTTTTCTACCTTCCTCTCCTCGTTACATCTCACGAAAGGAAAGAGCCACCCTTGGCAGTGGGAGAATACTGCAAGAGTACCGGCCTCTGTCTCCGACAGGGACCAGTAACGTCAGAAGGCTCTTGTCGAAATGCTCGACACAACTGACTCCCTTGTGTGTTGGCATGGTGTTGACCCCTTTGTGTGTTGACATGCATGGTGTTGACCCCCTTGTGTGATTCCGTGATTCCCCCTGTGGTGCATATCTACTGTGTCTCCGGTGTATCTCGATGAGAGGTGACAGGCGGAATACTTCTACGTCGAGTCTTATCCCAAACAGTCTCAGCATTCGCAGCTACGGAGAGAAGCGCACCCCGCGCGCTGTGCGGTCATCACCAGCTGAATAGATCACCTCCGTTTCTTACCACCCACCCCCCTTCTTCCCCTCGCTGCCTCGGCAAGGTTTTGCGTGGGCATGACCCATAGCGAGGGGGGGGGTCTTTCTGGCGAGCAGGGCTAGACTCACCCTCAGGGGACCGATACCTTCTTGCTGCGGCGCACCCGCCGCGAGGCGTACGTAGTGGTGGAGTTGGGTCGGCACTGGTGCGTCAGGTACAAAGGTGCAGATGCGCGGGCCTCCAGGCCGCCGGTGTAGGCAGCAATGCCCATCTCATCTTTATGCGCGGAGGCAGACTTCATCAGAAAGAAAGGTGGACGGGCACTATTTACACGGCCCTAGGTTTGCTAGAGGGAGCTGTACTGTATCAGTAACCTGGTTTTGCCATTAAAGGAGGAGGGGACAGATGGTGACGAGCTGATTGGGCTGGGTGACCCTTCGGCGCGAGAATTTTTAGACCAAGAACCCTAAGTGCAACGAGGGAGAAAGCGAGGAACCGACTGGGAAGGACAGCAACGAGAGCGTGTACAAAGCGGAGCGGGTCGAGTTTGGTCGTGCTAGGATTGGCCACAGCGGCACCGGAGCAGCGGCACCGGAGCAGCAGAACCGGAGCATGCGGACGGTATCGAACCGTGGCGCACGGACAAACATCTCTTGTGTTATCAATTATTTTCCGTTTTTTTCCTAGATAGGTGTTGGGTGTGTGTGATGACGTCGTCACTGGTTTTAACAACATATTCGCCTGATTGAGAGCGAAGTATCTGATTGAGAGCGAGAGCCAAAAAAATTGAAATTTCGGGTCCAGACGCCTCTTGCCATTTCTTGGCAAGTAGGGGACGGGCTATTCCAAGAAGCGGTGCAAATTGAAGGTCTCATCAGCAGCTTCGCGAGCATATGCGTGTCATCGTCATCGGATGCTGCAGCGAGGAGCTAGACAAGTTGCTAGATTTGCCCAGATTGGCTATTTCTGCTCAAACTGTTTCAGGGCGGTATCGCGTCGGGCGGTGGGCTCTGCTGTAGCTTCTGCTCCCCGCTGTAGCTCCACAACGAGAGACTCCCACAGGATGACCAGGGTAGCGGATTGAAGCTACGGGCTAGCCCTTCAATTCAAGCTACACAGCAAGCTCCACCTCTCAGTGGTAGTCCGGCTACAGCGTATCGCGCAATCTCGCTCTCAATCAGATGCTACGCTCTCAATCAGGCGAATATGTTGTTTTTTGTAGAGAGACGCGGCAGAGATGGCGCGGATAACCCGGGTGCCTCAATTGTGTAGCGGCGTCATGGAAGTCCCCTTCAATGTGGAAATATTCCTAGTCAGTGTCGATGTTTACACTGCTGTGCCTAACACAGATGATCTGGTTAGATTCGGGTGATTGTCAATTGCAATGATGGCTTTGGTTGGTTGGGTGTTCTTCATTGTATGTCCACCGACTCATTCTGACAGCACTTCAGACAGCAGCTGCATGCCCCGAGCTTGTGTACCATGCATCATGGTTTTATTATTGTACAGGCAGCACTTCAGACAGCAGTACGCTGTAGCCGACAAACATTCATTTTGGTTAAATGCGGGACAAGCGGGGTGATGCTGCTGCTGTAATCGAATTGTAGTGTGTGGGCGTGTAGTTCAGTTGTGAGCACGCAAACGTGCTGTAGGGATTATAGGTGTACCTCCTCGGGCTTGTGTACCCTTTTCTTGATAATGTGTGTGTGAATGCCACCTCAGACCGTCGTAGATTGTGACGTCAGATGACCTGATCCGGAGCTCTCGCCAGCTACCGTCGCGTGGCAGCAGCGTCTCCTAACAGAGTCGGTTCCTGCTTCATCGTCTGCCGCAACAGCGTCAGCTACGTCGTCTCGTGGAGCCTCGTCTCGTGGAGCGAGTGCAACTTCAACTCCAGCGGTAAGTTCAAGCGTTCCGTTTTTAGCTCCGTCGTTGCCCAGGCTGACACCGTTGTCCCCTGGAGCACCATCGTTCGTTCCGTCCGCGCAGGCAACGAGTGGATCCAATCCCTCGCCAAGTCCGTCGCTCACTGCGCCCGTCAACACGTCTACTTCGGTGTCGTGTACGTCTAGTAGTGCAACTACAGCTAGTTCAACATTGCA